TGTCTGCTAGAGGAAGTAGAAAAGCTTGTTAAAACCTCCAGAATCAAAATCTTCTCAGTTTGACTTTTTTTGTTTTAATAAAATTTTATTTTCCCCCCCAATTAAATGTAAAAACATTTTTAACGTTTTTTTTTTTTAATTACAAATTCTATACTTCTCTCCTTTTTCTCCCCCTTTCTTGAGATAGTAAGCAATCTGGTATAGGTTATATGTGTGCAATAATGTAAAACATATTTCCATATTAGTCATTATATGGAAGAAAACAGAAACAAAGAAAGAAAAGAAACAAAGATAGATAAATAGTATGCTTTGGTTTGTATTCAAATGCCATCAGTTCTTTCTCTGGAGGTGGATAGCATTTTTCATCATGAGTCCTTTGGCATTGGCATTACTGAGAATAGTTAAGTCATTCACAGTTGTTTATCATACAGTGTTGTTGTTACTGTGTACAATGTTCTCCTGGTCCTGCTCACTTCACTCTGCATCAGGTCATGTAGGTCTTTCCAGGTTTTTCTGAAATCATCATACTTGTCATTTTTTTTTTCAGTGAGGCAATTGGGGTTAAGTGACTTGCCCAGAATCACACAGCTAGTGAGTGTAATGTGTCAGAGGCCGGATTTGAACTCAGGTCCTCCTGAATCCAGGACTGGTTCTCTATCTACTGCACCACCTAGTTACCCCATGCTCGTTTCTTATAGCGCAGTAATACTCCATTACAATCATATGCTACAACACATTTAGTTATTCTTCATTTGATGGCCATCTCTTCAATTTCCAATTCTTAGCCACCATAAAAAGAGTTGCTATAAATATTTATGTACAAATAGGTCCTTTTCCTTTTTAAAACATTTTTTCAATCTCTGGGATATGGACATAGTAGTGGTATTATTGCTGGATCAAAGGATATGATGCACAGTTTTATAGTCCTTTGGGCATGGTTCCAAATTGCTCTCCAGAATGGTTGGATCAATTCACAATTCCACTAACAGTACATTAAAGTCCCAGTTTTCCCGTATCACCTGCAACATTTATCGTTTTTCTTTTCTGTCATATTAGCCAATCTGATAGGTATGAGGTGGTACCTCAGAGTTGTTTTAATGTGCATTTCTGTAATCAGTAGTGATTTAGAGCATTTTTTCGTATGACTATAGATAGGCATAACTGCCTTATCCTTTGACCATTTATCAATTGGGTAATGATTTGTATTCTTATACATATGATTCAGTTCTTTATATATTTGATAAATGAGGCCTTTATTAGAGGTACTTGCTGTAAAAATTATTTCCCAGCTTTCTGCTTTCCTTCTAATCTTGGTTCCATTGGTTTTATTTGTACAAAGCCTTTTTGATTTTACATAATCAAAATTATCCATTTTACGTTGCATAATATTCTCTCTCTCTTGTTTGGGCCTAAATTCTTCTCTCATCCACAGACCTGAGAGGTAAACTACTAAGCTCCCTTAATCTGCTTGTGTATCACCCCTTCTGTTTAAATCATAGACCTGTTTTGACCTTATCTTGGTATACAGTGTGAGATGTTGGTCTATATCTAGTTTTTGCCAAACTGCTTTCTAGTTTGCCTAGTAATGTTTGTCAAATAGTGAGTTCTTGTTCCAACAGCTTGGATCTTTGAGTTTATTAAACGATAAATTACTGTGGTGATTTACCACATTGTGTTGTGTTCTAATCACTGATCCACACTCATTTTCTTAGCCTATATCATGTTGTTTTGATAATTAACACTTTATAATACATTTCTATGTACTCTGCAATCCAATGACATTGGCCCCTTTGCCATTCCTTGATCAAGAGTCTCCATCTCCTGACTCCATGCATTTTCATTTACTCTCATGCCCTGAATGTTCTTTTTCTCCTTACCTATCTCTGTCTTCCTTGACTTCCTTTAAGATTCATCTAAAATCTCACCTTCTATAAGAAACCTTTCCTAATCTCCCATAATGTTAGTGTCTTCCATCTGATATTATCTCTAATTTATCCTGAATATATCTTGTTTCTACATAGCTGTTTGCATGTGATCTCCCCTATTAGGCTGTGAGCTCCTTGAGGGCCAGGGCTATTTTTGCCTTTCTTTGTGTCCTTAGCACTTAGTAAATGCTTATTGACTTAAATTTGACAATCCCTGACGGTTCACCTCACACCCAGCAATTCGGTTGAGTTGACATACTCAGTTTTGGATGGGTTTTGGGAAGATAGGCAAGCATATTAGTGCATTTTGCAATTATTCTGGAAAACACTTTGGAATTAGGCACATAAAGTAAATATAATGTCTATACCCTTTGACTCAAAGATTCCTTTACTTGGAGATGAGATACCACCAAAATAGAAACACTATCCCTCTCTCATTTATCTCAGTCATATTCTATACTCCCAGGCTTCCTGGATAGGCTCCCTCAATGTATTTTAAGCCTAGAGGTTCATGGCCAAAGTAGTCTGGGAAACTGACCTAAAAACAGTATTGCCCAGTGTGTCATATACTCATTGGATGCTACAGACAGTATATATTAATACTACCTGAGACATATTCATGTATATTAGGATCTTTGATTCTCACAATAATAAATAAAGTAGGGTAGAGACTACAGGAATTATCCTCATTTTATGGGTAAGAAGACTCAACATCAAAATTAGAACCCGGGTCCCTCTTAACTATAAGTCCAGTACTCTTCCACTACCCCAAGTCTCTATTCAGAGAAGGGAGAGGTCACTGTAAGTTATAATAGTCAGGAAAGTTTTGTAATCTCTCCTTGTTAGTTGGAGGATTAGAATCATATTATCTAAGAGTTGGAAAGGACCTCAGAGGACACCTAATTCAACTCCAACTTAGCATGAATTCCCTCCACAACTTCCCTAATAATGATCTTTCAGCATGTGCTTGAAGTCATCCATTGAGGAAGAAGAATTCACAAGCTCCTGAGGCACAGTTCATTTTATGGTTTAGAAATTCCTTGATATTTTTGGTTGTTTTCATTTGGGTATGCTTCAATTTGTCAATGCCTTGCTCTCTTTTTTTTTTTACTGTTTTTTTTAAAATTAATTTATTTTAATTTATCAACAATCACTTCCATAAGCTTTTGAGTTTTAAATTTTTCTCCTCTCTCCCCACCTCCCTCCCCAAGATGGCATGCAATCTGATATAGGCTATGCATATACCTTCCTATTAACAAATTTTCACATTAGTGATGTTGTAAGGAAGAATTAGAACCAACAGGAGGAACCACAAGAAAGACAAAACAAAACAGAAGAAAAAAATAGCAAATAGTATGCTTTGATCTGCATTCAAACTCCATAGTTCTTTCTTTGGATGTGGATAGCATTTTCCATCATGAGACCTTTGGAGATGTCTTAGATCCTTGCATTGCTGAGAAGGGCTAAGTCTATCAACGTTAGCCATCGCACAACATGGCTGTTACTGTGTACAACATTCTCCTGGTTCTACTCCACTCAGCATCAGTCCATACAAGTCTTTCCAGGTTTTTTCTGAAGTCTGCCTGCTCATTATTTCTTAACAGCACAATAGTATTCCATTACATTCATATACCACAATTTGTTCAGCCATTCCCCAATTGATGGGCATTCCCTCAATTTCCAGTTCTTTGCCACTACGAAAAGATCTGCTATAAATATTTTTTGTACATGTGGGTCCTTTTCCCATTTGTATGATCACTTTGTGATACAGCCCTAGAAGTGCTATTGCTGGGTCAAAGGGTATGCACATTTTTATAGCCCTTTGGGCATAGTACTAAATTGCTCTCCAAAATGGTTAGATCATTTCACAACTCCACCAACAATGCATTAGTGTTCCAATTTTCCTACGTCTTCTTCAACATTTATCATTTTCCTGTTTTGTCACGTTAGCCAATCTGAGAGGTGTGATGTGGTACCTCAGAGTTGTTTTGATTTGCATTTCTCTAATCAATAGTGATTTAGAGCATTTTTTCGTATGACTATAGATGGCTTTAATTTCTTCATCTGAGAACTGCCTGTTCATATCCTTTTACCATTTATCAATTGCGGAATGGCTTGTATTCTTATAAATTTGACTTAATTCTCTGTGTATTTTAGAAATGAGGCCCTTATCAGAGACACTGATGGTAAAAATTCTTTCTCAATTTTCTACTTTCCTTCTAATCTTCGTTGCATTGGTTTGGTTTGTGCAAAAATTTTTCAATTTAATGAATTTAAAATTATCCATTTTGCATTTTGTAATATTCTCTATCCTCCTGTTTGGTCATGAATTAGTCAATGCCTCTCTTAAAGCATAGTAACCAGAACTGACTATACCATAGTGACTAGCACCTTGTAGTAGAGGTGTGATGTAGCTACAGCAGAGATTGGGACTAATACTCCTTCATTCTGGAGGAATTTTGAACACATCCCAAGGAAGATTGATCTTGGACTTGAAATGTTTTGTTTTATTTACTTTTGCTTTCACTTAAATGAAATTTGTCATGGATTCTGCCTTTGGAACGCCAGGATTTGATAGATAAATTTTCACCTTATCTTGCCCAGAACCATCACTTCCTGGACATCTTCACATCATACAGCAGCCCAGCCCCTTTTCTGCCTTTTAGTTCTCCTTCTGTATCATCTTCCATTAGAATATAAGCAACTTACAGGCAAGGATTGTCTTGCATGTTTATTTTTAGATCTCTGCTGTTTAGTACTGGTACATTATAAATGCTTAAATGTTCTTTCTGTCTAGCAAGATATCTGTCTAAGGTTGTAAACTCCTATGACGCTGGGACTGTCTTTAGTCTAAGCTTTTTTTATATTTTTTAATATATTCTTTTTTATGAATATTTTTATATAAAATATATACATAGCATATATGTATATAAAACATATTTAAATACTTAATTAAAAAAAAACCCTTCAATGAACTTCCTGAGATATAATTTTTAGCAATAATGCCTTTATAATAAGCCTTTGTGTCTATCCCTTGCTTAAGGTTTCTTTTATTGCTATATTTTCTTGTTGTAGCAACAAGAACTGTGAAATTGACCACCATCGAGAACAATATGAAAAGTTGAAGTGGCAACTGGAAAGAAAACTCCAGGAACTGGATGGTGAACTTGCTTTGCAGAAACAGGTATGATATATTTGGAAGCCTTTTCTGCTGTTTTCTGACCACCAAGGATAGACTTTGAAGCTATTTTATTTTATTTTTTTGAAGTCATTTGGAGTTAAGTGACTTGCCCAGGGTCACACAGCTACTAAGTGCCTGAGATCAGATTTGAACTCAGGTCCTCCTGACTCCAGGGCCAGTGCTCTATCTACTGTGCCACCTAGCTGCCCCCTTTGAGACTATTTTAAAAAGTCCCAGGCTGAGGAAGAGGAGATTGGGAGTTCTTTCAAACACAGATTACATCTCTGACTATTAAGGTGGAATTGTCTGCATAAGTTCTCATTGCCTAAAAATCTAAAGAGGAATAAAATTAATATATTTGGGAGTCTGGCATATATCACATCTGTAGAAATCTACCAGAATGCTTCATTCCCCAATGTTGAATAAATCTAAGAGTCCCTTAATCAGTGACTTGGGGGAAATATAAAGTAGCATATAATCATTCCAGTCCCCTCCAACATCACCTGACTCTAAAATAGAAGGATAATTTTCAGCTTCTTTTAAAATATACTAGCCGGATCTCTCTCAATAGACATTAATATGTAAATATTATTGTAATTCTAAATACAGATTTGTTAATTGATAAGTGCAGCCCCAAATCAGCAGATGCTCTTGCTTTTTGAAATTCTTGGTTTTAACATCTATGAAATCCTAACCCTGATAAGGAAGAGGTCTAAAGCAGAGGTGTCAGACACATAGCCTGTTGGCCAATAACTCCCAAGTACAGCCTGAACCAGATTGAAATGAATATTTAAGAAATACACAAATATTTAACAAAATAATAAAAAATACAATAAAACATAGATAATGTTAATGTTGTTTCTTAAGTGCCCTGCAGGGATCCTTATGTACAGGTTAGTAGATCCTATTTCTATTTGAGTTTAACATCACTGGTCTGAAGGACATGTATACTATTCCTAAAAATTGAGGGCTTGATTCCCAAATTCATAGGGTACCAGAAATGTTCTAGGTGAAAAGATATAATTACTTTTGCTCACTACTGACTTCATGGAGATGGAAAGTGGTGGCACTTAACTGGCTACCTGCATTAGATTCAAGATTATCGCGTCCAAAAAATAGCCATGTTCTCTCAAATAAACTGAAATCACTTAGCAAAATAGCATAGGAGGAGAAGAGAAGAGGGCCCAGGACAGGGCCTTCAGAGATACCCATGGTTTAATAGGCATGACCTGGTTCAAGATCCAGCAAGGAAGACTGAGAAGAAACAGTCAGATAGGAGTAGAACTAGGAGAGAACATTGTCACAAAATTCTAGAGAGAAGAGAATATCAAAGAGAAGAGGGTGCTGAACTGTGTCCAAGGCTGCCGAAAGATGAAGAAGGAGGAGGAACAAGAAAAGGCTGTTAAATAAATTTAGTAATTAAGAGATCATTGGCAACTTTGGAGAGAGCAGTTTCAGTTGAGTGATGAAGTTGGAAGCCAGACTGCAGAGTTAAGAAGAGAATGAGAAAAAAGGAAATGAAAGCATTGATTACAGTCTTCTCAAGGAGTTTAGTCACAACGGAGAAGAGAGAGTTGCAGGATGATAGCTAGTAGGGATGGATGAATCAACTGAGGGTTTTTTAAAGATGGGAGAGATACAGGTGTGTTTGTAGTCAGTAGAGAACCAACAAGTAGACAATGAACTTCCTGAGATATAATTTTTAGCAATAATGCCTTTATAATAAGCCTTTGTGTCTATCCCTTGCTTAAGGTTTCTTTTATTGCTATATAATGATGGAATTTCTCTTTGAGAATTGCCTTCATGGTGCAGCTAGGTGGTGCAGTGGATAGAGCACTGGCCCTGGAGTCAGGAGGACTTGAGTTCAAATCCAACCTTAGACACATAACACTTAGCTTAGCTGTGTGACTCTGGGAAAAAATCACTTAACCCTAATTGCCTCACCAAAAAAAAAAAAAAAAGAGAGAGAGAGAGAGAGAGAATTGCCATCAGAGCCTATGGCACATTCTTTTGAATATTCAAAGTGATTAGAAGTCTTTTTTTTTTTTTTAATTTTTGGAAATGGCCAAAAGTTCTTTGCAATTAAGTCTGGTGAATGAGGTGGATGATCCATCTTGAATAATATCATTCATTTTTGCTCAGAAATGGTCTATAACAAAAAATAAGGCTCTTACATTGCCTCATAAATTGGCCCTAAAGACATTCCATAGTTTCAGAATGTTTTAAGCAATGGCAATATTGAAAGGATAACTAGATAATCTCCCAGGGATTTACTTTGAATGATGATACATTTGGATTTGGACTTTTGGCATATTTATTAAAAATTTAGTCACACTCTGTACTTTGTATTAGAGGCCCATTTGGGAGGGCCACAGGCGTCACAAGAAAATCATTTGGATCACTTCATGTTCACACTTTGGATGTAATTCTTTTGCCCCCTAGTGGCCACAACCTACAGTGTGCCTCTTTGTTAGAATACCTGAACTGTGAATTCCTAGAATTCAAAGGAATAATATGCCAGTATTAATTGGGAAAACCAGAATTAGACTAGAATCCAACTAGTGCTCTGACTTAAATATTTTCTGGTCCTAAACCTTCTCCCTTCAAAAATTCTTAGGAGTCCATATGCTTCATAACACATCTCAAAATTAGGTAAAAAGATTTAATTTGTGTACCTAGCTTCGGAATGCCTTCTAAGTAGAAACCCTTTACTCTAGTTCAGCCCTTTGCTGTTAGAGAATTTTGAGATAAAATGTGGCATTTACTTCAAACTCGCTATAATTGTCTCATTTATTTGGAGTTTTTGTTCTTTGGAGTGAATTCAGATTTCTAGCATGTTGCTATTGTGTTTATCCTTCCTTCTCGAAGAGGACCATGACATCAGGGAGATGATGACATGACTTGCAATTGACTTTGATTTGAGTGAGGGAGGGCTGTGCAGGGTCATCAGCCTCACTTTCTCCTTCAGAGCCATCTGGGTCTAGTGGCCAGATATTCATCAGAATGACTGCAGATGGCCCAGATTGCTGTGGGAGACCCTGGCCCTTTTAAGCTAAGGTCTTGTTCTCACTTTGAGTGAGGTAACGCCCATTCAGTGAATAGGCCTCTTTAAGAAGTGAGTCAAGAGATGGCCCCTTTCTTTTCTTTTCTTTTCTTTTCTTTTTTTCTTTCTTTTTCTTTTTTTGGAGGCAATTGGGGTTAAGTGACTTGCTCAGGGTCACACAGCTAGTAATTGTCAAGTGTCTGGTCTGAGATCACATTTGAACTCAGGTCCTCCTGACTCTAGGGCTGGTGCTCTATCCACTATGCCACCTAGCTGCTCCTGATGGCCCCTTTAATTTAAAAAAAAAAAATCAAACTGGGAGGGGAAGACCCTTAGGCAACTGTTTCTGTAGGATATTAGGATCTTCAGAATGACAGCATAGAGAGAAGTACCATTATCTACTTTCATTAATATAGCTGTCTCCCCTTACAACTAGATTTTGGTTGAGGCAAAATTAAAAAAAATCACAGAACTCTTTTCTTGTTCCTTTCTTAGGCAGGCTTTCTTACCTGTAGGTAAATGGTAGACTATCTCTCTGCTGTCTTTGCTCTGTCTTAACAAGAAGCAAGTTACCCTTCTCTGTTTGAAAGGCTAACCAGAGACAAAAGCAGGTTTTCTTCAAGGTATAAAAAGCTGTTTGTATGCTCAGGCTGGGGGAAATTCTTCTAAACTCTTCTACAGTTTCATGATGCTTAATATAACTTCTTTTGTTCTGTACCCTAAATTGTGAGCTGTGAGTTATTTTTTTCCAAGGACACTTTTGGTGTATTGCCCGGGGTCTCTACACCCGGCCCATTGCTTGGATACTTACCCTTCCCGGTCTTCGGATGTCTCTGGCCCCTCCGAGGGTGGAGGGGAATGACTAGACAGAACACCTGAGCTGGCAGCTGCACACGATTTATTGGTTACATGCTCTTCTGCCTCCCATGGTCCCGGCCTCTGCTCTCTCTCCTGCCTCCCATGGTCCCAGCCTCTGGTCTCTCCCCGGCTCCAACTCCCGGCTCTACCCAGACACCCCTGGGTTCTGCTCTTATAGCCCTAGCTCCACCTTGTGGGTGGAACTTGCCCGAGCTCCTCCCATGTTCCTCCTTCATAGGTGGAGCCAGCGTCTGTTACTGAGGCATTCCCAGTACCCCAGAAGGGGCAGGTTAGTACCTCCAGGCGTCTCTTACTACCCCACAGGAGGCCACGGTCCAGAGCTGGGCCCTAACAGTGTATTATTTGGGAAACCAGTACATGGTCTGTGTGGGAGAATCTATGATCAGCAGCTTCCCTTTAAGCCCCAGGGTGCCTTAAAAGTAAGAAGATTATTTTAAAATCTCTCTTTCCATGGTTTTGAAGGGGAGTTCCATATAGACTTCATAACCCATTAGTGGCATCTGGAATCCCTTACCTTTTTTTTTTTCCTGAACAGCTCTATAAAATTCTTTATTTCTGTTTTTGTTTTCTGATTCGTTACAGTGGAATCCTTTGGGATAAATTATTTAATCATCTTCATTCAACAGCACACATCAGATCAAGGTTTAAGTTTTAAAAGAATTTTACTGTTGTGGGCATGACATTTTTGAATTGTCTATCTCTTAGAGTATCTCTTTAAGGAGATCTAAAAGAAACTTAGAAGAAGCCTTCATAACTTTCACCTCTGGGACCAGCCACTAGGTTGTTTGGTGCAAAAACCAATGTTTAAAGACTGGGAGAAGGGCAATGCATGCTGTGTGTCTGACAGTTTCCCTGTCTTTCTTCATGTGTCTGGTTTTATGAGTCATCTGTCAGGACCTGCCTTCCACCTCAGGAAAGCCTTGTATGGTGGGCAGGGCCTGGCTACCTGGCTCAGGGTTGGGATGACAGTGGATGCCCTAAATAAACCTCTCCTTTTCATTTTCATCTGGTTGCAATGGGTACAAGTTCATCTAAGAAAGTTTGAGTTCACTTAAGGGAATCCCAACATATGTGTGATTATTATTCTTTTAACATTTATAAGTTTCCTGGACACATAGAACTGTTATGCTTGGGACAACATTTTGAAATATTTCCCCAAGGGAGGAATATTTGGTCTTGATAAGTAATGTACTATAAGAAAGCTACTTGAAACCTGTATTGCTAAAGTTTAAGGGAAAAAAAAAGGTATGTTCTCTTTGGCACCCAAACACTTTCAAAGAACCCTAAGATTTTGCTTCAGAGTCTTCTTGCTTTTGTGAGAATGTTTTCAGTGTATGCCAGCAAAATTGTGCTTTATGAAAAAAAAAAAGACCTGTTCAATAAGAAGGCAAAAACAACCTTTTAAAAGGAAAGAAAAAAAATGGACTAGTTTTTTAATGTAGTCAGAACTTTTCAGTGAGGAAGCTTCTAAACTGCTAAAAATGTCTGGTGTTTATACCCAATTTTGAGCTGTTCACTTTTTTTCATTCAGAAAATCAGGTTTTTAAAAGGGGCTAACTAGAGTGAAAAGGAATAAGAAAAAACTCACTCTCAAAATTGATCGCATTGAAAATTAGGGGCGGAGCCAAAATAGAAGGTTAGGGTTAGCTGCCCAGGTGAACTCTCCCAACATTACCTTAAAAACAGCTTTGAAATAACACCTCAAATTGAATTTTGAAATGGCAAAACCAACAAAAAGTCAGGGTGAGACATTTTTCCTGCCTCAAAAAACTTGAGGTCAGCAGGAGAAGTCTCTGGCATTGGGGTGGAGGTCTGTTCAGAGTCCACAAACACAGCCATGACAACAGTGGCCACATGGTCAGAAAGAGATTTACAGGGGACCTTTTGCACAGGGTACAGCTGGTGCTGATTGTCAACTCTATTGCTTATGCTCAGGTCACAGATCCAGGGTGGAGAGAAGCACTGGTGGTCTGTCACAAGGGAGCAAGGACCCTGGTTACAGTTCCAAGGCAAAGAGGCATGCTAGAGCACGCACCTACATGGAATCGGGGGCCCTTCCTGGGTAAAGACCAGAGTTCAGTGACCATTCCTTTTCCAGGATTACACTACCTTAGAAGCACTAGAAATTTACAGACCCTTAGAACTAGATTTGAAAATAGCAGCACAGAAAAGCCTAAAGCTTGGGATAGTGCCTCCCCAACCCCAGAGCCCATTAACATTAAGTTCAAAGTCAAGAAATAGGCTGAAAAAAATGAACAAACAACAAAAAAAGAATTTGACCAAAGAAATCTACTATGGTGTCAGGGAAGACTATGATAAAAACTCAGAAGAGGATAATATGAAAAAAGCTACCCCAAAAAAGCCTGAAAGAAAAATGCTGGGGGTAGAGCCAAGATGGCAGAGTAAAGGTAGGTACTCACTTGAGCTCTTCCTGAAAACCCTCCCAATACCTTTTTAAAAATGCCTCTATGAGCAGCTAGGTGGCGCAGTGGATAGAGCACCGGCCCTGAAGTCAGGAGGACCTGAGTTCAAATCCAGCCCCAGACCAAACACTTGGCACGCACTAGCTATGTGACCTTGGGCAAGTCACTTAACCCTGATTGCCTCACCAAAAAAAAAAAATACCTCTAAACAAATTCAAGAACAGCAGAACCCACAAAAAGATGGAGTGAAACAAATTCCCAGCCCAAGACAACTTGGAAAGGTCAGTAGGAAAGCTCTATTGCACCGGGGTTAGAGAGGGGTACGGTGGCATGCAGGCTATGCCAGTGTAGACTGGGCCCCAGCAAACGCGGAGCAGGCCTTGGGAGTGACTGAATCACTGGCAGCAATGGTGGATTCCAGACCTCTCATCCCATAGACGCCAAAGACAACTTAGAAGGTCAGCAGGAAAGGTCTGTCTCACCTGGGTAAGAGTAGAACTGAGTTGAGCATAGGCTGCGCCAGCATAGCCCCAGCCCAGGGAAACAAAGAGCAGTCCATGAGAGTGATTGAATCAGTAGCGGCCATGGCAATGGCTGCTTCCAGAGCTCTCAGCCCACAGATGTTAAAGAGGTCAAACAACTGGTCGGAAGGACATTAACAGTGGTCTTTTTGCTAGCACTGAGGCAGGACTCTGTTCCTTTGCCCATACTTGTATCCGGAGTGCAGTCTTGGATGGCAGTCCCTGGATGAAGAGGAGCACTAGCACACTAGAGCTTGTAGCTTTGGGGGAGGGGGGACCTTCCTCACAGTTCAAGGGCAGAAAAGAGTGCTTGTGGTCACTCACAGACCAGAGCACAGGCCAGGAGAGTATGAAATACTTCACCTTAGATCATATCACCTTGGAATAACTGAAAACTTATAGGTCCCTAGAAGTATCTCTGAAAACAGCTGCACAAAATCCCTGAAGCTTGGGACAGTGTATCCTCCACCCTGGAAGCAGAGCCCTACCTTAACAGTTAAAAGTCAAGTAATAGGCTGGGGAAATGAACAAACAACAACAGACAAAAAAAATGTAACTATTGAAAATTACTGTGGTGACAGGAAAGATCAAAACACACACTCAGAAGAAGACAACAAAGTCAAAGTTTCTACATGGAAAGCCTCTAAGAAAAATATGAATTGGTCTCAGGCCATGGAGGAGCTCAACAGAGGATTTTGAAAATTAAGTAAGAGAGGCAGAGGAAAAACTGGGAAGAGAAATGAGAGTGATGAAGAAAATCATGAAAAAATGAGTCAGCAGTTTGGTAAATGAAACACACAAAAAAAAAACCTTAAGAAAATAACACCTTAAAAAACAGACTTAGGCCAAATGGTAAAAGAGGTCCAAAAAGCCAATGAGGAGAAGAATGCCTTAAAAAGCAGAATGGAGCAAATGGAAACTAATGACTCTCTGGGAAATCAAGAAATTATAAAACAAAACCAAAAGAATGAAAAAATAATAGACAATTTGAAATATCTCATTGGAAAAACAACTCATCTTGAAAATAGATACTGGAGAGATAATTAAAAAATTATCAGACTACCTGAAAGCCAGGATCAAAAAAAGAGCCTGGACATCATCTTTTAAGAAATTACCAAGGAAAACTGACCTGATATTCTAGAACCAGAGGGTAAAATAGAAATTAAAAGAATCTACTGATCACCTCCTGAAAGAGATCCCAAACTGAAAACTCCCAGGAATATTGTAACCAAATTCCAGAGTTTCCAGATCAAGGAGAAAATATTGCAAGTAGCCAGAAAGAAACAGTTGAAGTATTGTGGAACCACAATCAAGATAGTACAAGATTTAGCAGTTTCTACGTTAAAGGATAAGAAGGCTTGGGATAGGATATTCCAGAGGTCAAAGGAGCTAGCATTAAAACCAAGAATCATCTACACGCAAAACTGAGTTTAATCCATGAGGGAGAAAAGTTGACATTCAGTGAGATAGAGGAATTTCATGCATTCTTAAGAAAAAACCAGAGCTAAATAGAAAATTTGACTTTCAAATATGAGACTCAAGAGAAACATGAGGCTCAGAGTCTTAAGATCTGGCCCACTTGCATTAGCAATACAAATGCTTAGATTCCTTTAGTCTGGTTAATATGGCGGATTCTTTACATCTCACCCATCCCTGATTGATGTTCTAATAAACCTTGTCTTTGGCCAAAAGTAGGCTTGAGTCAAATTCATTCAGGCAGGACCTGTATGTTGTGATTTTGGGGTCCTAGCACCACTAAACCTCTAAACCTCAACATTTTGGTGGCCCATACAGGGAAGCTGCCTAATCTCAAGCTCTTCTTCAGCCAAGACTGGAAGGTATGAAGCCTCCCCCCTACACTTCTTGCCCTGTATTTGGGGTTGTTCTCCAAGCACCTTGGAAGGCTTGGAGGTGCTTTTTGGGCAACTGTTATGAGGCTGTTTTGCACTCAACCTGATGCTGTCAGGTTCTCAGTCCACTGGTTCGGTTCGAGGCCATGGACCTGGGTATACCTTCTGCAGCATAGAGGACAAGGACGGACTCCCTTTCTGGAAGC